AAACGACCCCCCCCAAACCCCGCCCAGGGGGGGGGGGGGGGGGGGGGGGGGGGGGGGGGGGTCAATAACGCAGAAGAACGGACGGCTGCAGCGGCAAGGACCAGCAGGAGGGAGAGAGACTCCTGCAGACTGAAGAGGAAAGACCCGCCACAGCAGGAGAGACGCTGGAGCTGAGCGAGGCAGCCCCGTCCGCTCCCCGTACGCCCACCAGCGCAGCCAGGAAAAAGCGACGGGTGGTGGTAGCCGGCGACTTCTCTTCCGAGAGGTACGGAGGCACCCGCGTGCCGACCTGACGCCCTCTCCAGAGGGGTGTGCTGCTCACCGGGGGCTCGTGTCAGGGCTGTCGCCGAGAGACTACCGAGCCTCCGACAGTCCACCGATTGGTATCCGCTGCCCTGGTTTCACGTGGGCACCAGGGATGCAGCCGGGAGCAGCCGCAGGAGCATCAGGAAGGGTTGCAGAGCCCCAGCAGCGGCGGTCAGGGACTCTGGAGCGCAGGTCGTTTTTTTCATCAGTCCTCGCCGCCAAAGGGAAGGGCTTTGAAAGGGCCGGTCGAACCTGGCAAATCAACAAGCGGTTACAGGCCTGGTGCCACAGCCAGGGCTTCGGCTACTTAGGCTACGGGCTTGGCTTTGAGAGACCTGGGCCGCCGGGGGCTGCCGGGCTCCATCTGCCAGAGAAGGGGCAGAGCGTCTTCGGTCAGCGACTTGCCAAGCTGCCGCGGAGGGCTTTAAAGGCCAGTTGCCAGGGGAGGGGATCCTCAATCCTTCCCACTGCTACCGGTTGGATGCCAGTGCCAGCAACAGATGCCCAGAGCCTGCCGAAGGCCCACAGGTCAGCGGGAGCGCGCCTGAAGAGCAGCACAAGGGAATTCCAGGCAGTGAGTCGGCTTCGTCGGGGGCCCAACTTCAATGCCTGTGTGCAAACGCACGCAGCAGGGGCCATAAACAAGGGGCGCTGGAGGCATGCACGCACCTGCAGGGCTCTGATCTCATGGGCGTCAGGGGGCCGGGGTGGGATGGCTGCTATGGCTGCAGCGTTGGAACGGAAGGGTCCCGGCTCTTTAGGAAGGAGAGGCAGGGGAGATGAGGAGGGGGGGTTGCCCTCTGTCAATGACCAGCTGGAGGGCAGGGAGCTCCGCCGGGGGGTGGATGAGGAGCCCACCCAGAGCTTACGGGTCAGGGTCACAGGCAGGGCAGGGACAGGTGACGGTATGGTGGGGGTCTGCTGCAGGCCACCCCACCAGGAAGACCGAGCGGGTGAGGCCCTCTATAGACAGAGAGGAGCAGCCTCCCGTTCACAAGCCCAGGGCTTCATGGGCGACTCCAACCACCCAGC